TTTGACTCCCTTTTGCAAATGTCTAAAAGCCTTTCATATTAAATGCTTAAAGGTGTTTTGACATCTAAGCAGAAATTATTTTGTAGTCCAGCAGTGCTTCCTAAATTATCAATTATTAGTGACAGAATTGTATGCAGTGCATCACAAACTAGGCTAGCAGTAAAATTGTTGAATGTATCTTAGAATCAAAACTGATGCCAAGGAAATAAATCACATGTGGAAACTCCCGCTTGAAGTGTCTGTGTGTTTTGGGGAAACCCCCTTTGCAGCTGCCTGCAGCACAAGTGTCAGTAGGAATAGGACTTTGGCAATCCTGTTTGTACTTCTGCTTTAAATAAGTAACGTGACTTATTTAAACTAGGGTCTACTTTAAATTGTTCTACAAGCACTCATTAAAGATATGTGTTAATCATAACCATAGCTGCATTTACAGTCTTTTTTTTTTTTTTACGGGGGCCTTGTATATAGTTAACAATTCTATATACTGTCCATCTGGCTTGGATAGTAAATGAGAATAGAAGTCTTGCCTTGGTAACACGTCTTTTGAATTTATTTTAAAGAAACATGATAAGCAGCAAAAACATTTAAGAACTTGAGTTCCATTTTAAGTGTTACTTAGACCAAGTGTTACTGGTATGGTCCGACTGGCACAGGCTTGACACCCAGTTATCTTGCTGGGTGAATGCTCCTATGCAGTTTTGAGGGGCCTTTTGATTCAGTGGAAATCCCTTAAGTTTAACTAGAGAAGCTGCTAATAATAAAATTGTCAACATATAAAATTGAGAACATAGAAAATTATGCTAGGATAGCTGTACTGATTTTAATTCAATCCTTTTTTACATCAAGATAAAGCCTTAGGCTAGCTATTGTAAGAGAATCTGTTAAATTATAATGGTCTTCTATTAAGAGTTTGCAGAAGGTTCTTCTCTTTCAGCTGCACACTCTTAATTTTGAGGGTTTTTTACAAGGTATGCATATACTGCAAATATTTTGTGAGTGTACTTTGGCCTACAGACATTTGACCGATACATGACATTAACCATATCCCAAAATCAAAGTCGGTATATCAACTTCTAGGACTTGTGCCAAGTTGTTGAAGCAATAAAGAGAAGTTACAACTTCGTTATAAAGTTGATAGTCTCTTCCTCTGAAGTAAGGCTTATTTATTGCAGACCAGTGCTGGCTGCCTTTTTTGAAGTTCCAAGCCAACAGTATGTCCATAGATGTTCAGAGCTGAAGAGCAGTATATTTAAGGCCTACAAACAGAAACTTAGAAGCTTTTTAACCTGAAGTGCTTCTCAGTTTTAGATTGAATACGTATTATCAAAGCTTCAGCTCCCTTTTTTAATATGTATCAGTAAATAAGTAAAAATATTAAGGCTTCTTCAGCTCTTCCTAATCAAGCTGAATAAGGCCATGATAGTTGAAGTTTAAAGAATAGGAATTCTTTTGGCATTTGGAAAGAGATTTTTCAGAAGTTCAGGCCTCATTTCTCCCCTTTGTTGCTGATTTTTCTTCTATTTTAATTTTAATTCTGCAGGTCACCCAGCAGAAGTAATTCTGATGTGTGCTTATTGATGCTTTCCCAGGACTGCCCTACCTAGCAGAGGAAGGATTCAGGCAAGTAATGTACACTTGCTCTTGCAATCTGCAGTTATGGAGTATACACTGGACAAATACATTGTATCTCAATATAGTGGATTTCTTTTCACTGTGATCTAGCAAGGTAGGACCAAACTAGTTTGGTAGAATTAATGAAGGAAGAAAACTCATCATAACCTACTCTTGATTCAAGCTTATTAAAGTCAGTAAAACTTGAACAGAATGTGGCCTTTAATGCTTTACTATGCTGCAGGCTTTTATATAAATATATAATGTATGAACTCTTAGGTTATTCTGAGCGGAACTTGACTGCTGAGCTGACTACTTGCTGCAGCTGAAGAAAAGTGGTTTTCATGCTACTTCGTTTTTTTTTTTCTATCGCTCTGTTAGTCTTTCTGCCTCGCCTGTTGCCATGATCTTTTTGCGCTGCTTTTATTTACAGTCCATTCTTGCAGCTTCCTGTTAATTGGTCTGCAAGAGGAAGCTCTCCTGCTGCAGGGACAGCTCAGCCTTCAGCTAGACTAGTGTATTTATACTGGCAAGGACAGCACAGTCCTAGAGGTATATTTTATTGCTCTTGCTTTCCATTAATTAAAGTATGTGATTAATAATATAAATAGTTTGCTTCAGCAAAAGCTTGCTTTTTCTTTGTTTTTGCATTGTATCCTGCTTGAGCACAATCGTGTGGGTAGACAGGAAGAATGTAAATTCCTGAAACAAACAGGAATAAAGGACTTTTGTGGCCAGACATAGGACATACGGCAGTCTTGCTTGATCGAACCAACGTCTAATCTGGAAGTAACAGAACTAGGTATAAGATAAGGGCTTTAGGCACATGCACGGGATTAAATAGATCAAAGGTTCATATCAAAGAAGACTACTAGCCTTTATTAACTAGTTCTTAGAAGTCCCTCCTGGAAGAAAGAATGAAGGCTGCATTAGCTGTTGGGAGGTGGGATTCATCTTCCCAAAAGTCCTATGAAAATGTAAAAGGCTTGACTGTAAGAAACTTTGACTCTGTACTCACAAGTGTGCATGTGGGATACGAAGGCATGCACCCGGCGCTGTAAATGAACCTTTCCTCCACTGACTTTGTCCCCAGTTAAATTTTTCTAAAGGTGAGCGTGTTTCTCACAAGTAGGATTGCTTTGAACTGGGAGCAACAGCTGTTCCTAACAGTGGCAGAGATGATTGGCTAGCTTCCTTAGACAGTGGCCCTGCTGGAATGAAATCCAAATGGTTCTTCCTTTGAAGGCTGTGTGAAACCTCATAATGTTAAAGAAATGAAGTAGCTCCTTTTGAGTGAAATTCTCCCAAGGTTAGCTTGGTGCAAGGCTGCTTCTCCCCACTGATTTTGTGGGGACAACTGAAGGTTAGTGGTCTAAAGCCATACACCAGAGTTCCTTGCAAAACAGAATTGTGCATTGTGAAGATGCATATATTTAATACTCTTCTATTTCTGTGACAGACACGTCCATAAAGATTTCATGTCTCTTCAGTCTGTCTATTTGCAGTTTTGACACACAACCCTTCTGATTAATGTTTGGTCTAGAAAGTTAAGCTGAATTTTCATTCTTCCAAAACTATGAAACATCTACAAAAGCATATATATTTTTGAATTCCTCAGTGAAACACCAGCTTGTGTGCGTGCATGTATGAAATGGCTACTGCTTTAGCTCTGTGACTTATCTTGATGGTTTTGGAAATAACCAGAGAAGTCAAAAGGGGATCCTGGAACTTGAAATGAAAAATCCTGGTTTTCTGAATGCTTAACTGAAGAAAGGGAGCGGACAGCATCAGAAAGGTGAGAGTGGAAAAGCAGTACTTCAGGAACATGTGTTGGATAAATGAGGCATAATAAAAATGAGTCTATTTAGGCCAAAGAACATGGTACTACAGCTGTGGAGCTTGGAGGGGAAACTCAAGAGGTGTATCAGACCAGAAAAGGTGGTCTTCCCAGTGTTACATATACTCAGATGCTGTTGTTTTGATCATAGCTTTTCTTACTGAGGTAGGGATGGTAATGCAAGCTTAGAAGAGTATGCTTAGTAGCAAAGAACTCTGGGGGGAAAGATTGCCTTAAATCATTGTGGGTTAATGCTTGTAGACTAAATTGGTAACTGATTTTGTAGCAGATAAAGCAAGTGAATTTAATTCACAAACTGCTGAGGTGTGGTTCTCTTTACATCTTTTCTGTGTGAAAAATATGTGAATTAAGTCACTGATACAACTGGGCATTGATTCTTAGTAAAGAGCATCAGGATTTTGTGTGGATATGCAGATCCTTTTAGCTAACAACAGGTGTGTGATACTTGGTTTGCTTCCCTTTCCTATATAGCCTGGCTGTGGAAGGAGTGCAAACAGGTGACCTATGGAGAAGACTGAGATTTGCTTTTCTAGCTGATGCAGCCATGGCCAGTATCTGAAATGTTATTTTCTTTTGTGCTTTGGCTGTTGGGTAGGTTACAAAAAAAAAAAAGTTATACAGAAACTTCTTCCTTCTGTTTTGGAGTACGCATTAGTGTCTGTTTCCTCAAAAATAGGTGAAGTAAGCTTTACTTGGCATATTTATGTATATGTTCTGAAACTGGCTAATTGCTTTTGTCTTACTTGAACTTTCTAGCCTAGGGTGCTGTTTAATGCCAGTCAGTGAAACACGAATCCCTTCAAGGGCTCCAGGAGAAGTGTAAAACAGTAGCATTTATTCACCATCAGTTGGTCCTGTAGAATTGTTACATTGTGAGTCTCTTGGATTTGAATTTTACTGTCTTTTTCTGATTTGTGTAGCATCAAACATACAGGCAAGATATGCTCCAAAGCACATATATGCTGCATAATCTTTCAAAATGCTTATTTTTAACTTCTTGGGTTGAAGCGGAAAGGACAAGCTCCAGCGATGGGGAGAGAAAACAGAGGTGAAATACTTATCATAGTTCTGTGGTGCAGTGCAAGTACGTGAAGTGCAGGCAGCATTTCTGAGCTGTGCCTCAAGCAGCGTGAGAGAGCTAAGCACGCTGTAAGCAAAAGGACTTTCTTTTTCTCCAGTGGGAAAGTAATTGATTGAAAGGTGAGTAGGAAACAAGTGAGCACAGGAAAATCCCCTCTGCTTTCTGGCTCCATGACTGGCAGAGGTTGGAGGTGTGCAGGGTTTGATTTACAACCTCTCTGGGAAGTTGGGAAATCTGACAAAGATAGTGCTGCCCACTAACATTAGGGGAAACAGGAAGTTACAAAGGAAACAAGTCATTGCCTAAGCGTCACTTTTGGCCACGGTGCAGTGCAGATGCACAAGCAGTTGGGGCAGGGTTTCTTTTGTGTGTTGAGCATACAGTAGCTACCACAGTCACTTTCAACCTTACAGTACACGAAAAGGGGAGAAGTGCAGAGATGTTTCTGTCATGCCTGAGAGGGGTCAGAAGTCTTTAATGGCTTTGTCATCACAAAGGAAACAATCGTTCGGTGAAGCTGTCAGCAGAAAAAGTATGTGTCGATCAGGCATAGTCACCAGGTTAGTGCATGTTCATGGCTTGTATTTCTGTCATCTTTTTTCTTTTAGGTAAAGAGCAGACTAAAACTGTGAGTACAATATGGTATCTGGGGTAAAATTCTTTTAACTCATGCAGAAAATTCAAGGGTTAAGAATTGAAGGGGGAAGAGATGAAGCGAGTGTTGGTTGAAAATTTTTGCCAGGCAAGAAAAGCAAGTTGATGCAAGTTAAACTGAACAAACTTACAACAGTGGGTATCAGTAGGGCTTAGTTCTCTGCTCCCTTTGTCCTCTAAGATTTATTTGGCTTCACAGTGTTTGTACTGTGCTATTGATCCTTCTGAGAAACTGTTGTGAAAGGGGCTGTTAGAGGCATTAAGAAATGGAATGTTTAACCACAGAAGTAGGAGAATTTCAGAAATACTGGAGAATGGTTAATAAATGGAAGAGAGACCTGAACATTTTGCAGAAAGCAGTTTTAAGAACAGATGGTAAATATTCAGGTACTTGAATCAGACTCTTACTTTTTGTTCAGAATTGCTGAGAGCACATTGGGGAAGCTTTTATTTTACAGTTTTGTTGTATGTAATCTGCCTCATTTTGATTAAGCCTTTGTGAAGACTGAAACTTCAGCCTTCCTCTGCATTATACAAGGAATACATTCATTTCTGTATGTTATAACTTACTTCTAACATTACATATATGTACTCAGAAGGAAACTAGCATCCTGCTTTATGTTTGACTTTCAAATAGAATCTAAAGACTAGAGGTTATGAGATATATGGAATTTAAAAAGTTCTCAGACATAACTGGCATAGAGATACTTGTTAGAAATTCAGATCAGGTCTGATTTTTGTACTGCAGCTTTGGACTCTCTCTTTAATTTTTTTATCTAGCATGACCAAACCGGGCTCCAGGACAGACTATAAATATTGTTACAGCAAGTGAGAACTTCTAATACAACTTTTGGCAGCTGTAGTTTCAGAGATGAGGTTAATGTGTTTTTACGCCTATATGTTTGTTGCAAGATGTGGAGATGATCACATCTGCCATATGTTCTGCTGAAGTTAAGCAAGAACTGAGGACTCGTGGCTCTTCCAGCATGAAATACAAGGTTGAATCAGCTTGTGCTTGCTTTAATTGGGCTGAACGCCAATAGCTCTTAAGGCCAAAAGCAGTAAGTGTTCTTCTATAATGTAATCCAGATTTCTAATGTGGCAGAGTATTATTTTTACTCATGGAGGGACATTTAGCCTGTAAAGTTATGCCCTAGCCTCCAATCCAGCTATACTGTATGTGCTGTCTGAGGGGATAAGTTAAAATTACTTCACATTTGCGTACTGCACAATAACAGAAGTCTGCTCTCCATTTAGAGTTTGAGCTTGGTAGGGGTTTTATGATACCGAAGAAACTTCTGCATCTGACTGTCATTATCTAGGTTGCACGAAGGGTGTAATTTGTCTTTTTTTTTTTTTTTCCCCCTCATGCTGTTGTGACTTTTATGCTACTCCAAATAAAAACCATCTCACTGTGATAGTGTTTGAGAGAAGTATACTCATGTGATAGACTTGGACTGACATTCTTGATACATATACTGCAAATGGGTTTGTTTTTCAGTCTGGCAGACCAGTTTGTATGTATGAAGCAATTCCAATAGTAATTGTATAAGCTCTGTATCACGCTCAGGAGTGCTAACTGCACTGTTCTGTCTTTCCAAAAGCGCTGTTGAAAGATGAAGCAAATGCTACAAACTGCTGTTCCACCGTTTCTCCTACTACACTCTAAGGCCTATCTTCTCCCTCACAGGCATAGAATTGTCATGGGGATCATCTGAGAAACAGTGATGTGAGGCCTTTTGCCATGTGGTGCCACCTCTTCTGGTTCAGATGGTTCTGTTCAGTGCTGTTTCAGTGGGGGAGAAGGTTGATTTAAGATCCACTTACAGTGGCTTTTGGGACTTGATGGAAAACATACTTTAAAAATATGCATCTGGTCCCTTGGTGAGTGGACGGAAGAATAAAGTGTGTAGCCATCACTAGAAGCTTGCCCAAAATAATGCATGGGTAGTATCACTTTCTGTTTGTAACAGAGAACCAGTGTCAGAGAAGAGAGCATGGCTTGGCTCTGATTGCACTTAGTGGGTCCTTTCTGTTAACCTCATAGTCAGCTCCACGGAAGGGACTCCGCTTATGCACCTGGGGTGAAAATGTGTAGTGGGGTCTTTGGCTTGTGGTGCAAGAATATAACTGCATAAGAAACAACTTGGAAATACCCTTCTGTTCTTAATAATTACAGAACCAGCAGGCTCTACAGTGACTTAAGTGCTTGCTGTTGTGCATACCTGGTAATGCAACATTCATCTGTTCTTCGTGTAACGTTTTAAAAACAAATATAAAAGGAGTATCAACAGTGGAAGGAAGAATTTCAGCGAGCTAAAAGCAATGTAATGTAGGTGCTAAGACCAGAAAAATCAGAAAAAGCATTGATTTTCTTTCTTCCCACTCCTGCTATAAAGATCCTGGGGTTACACTGTTTTGACAGTTTTCTCTCAGCAGCTTGACGCAAAGTAGCGTCCTTCCAGAGTTGTAGTGTCAAGAAAAGAATAAAAATCTGCTTGGGACTAGATTCAAAGTACTTAAATGGATTTTAGAAGCCTACCTCAAACATTTCAATTCAAAATACTAAAGTCCTCCCTATCTGTCTGCAATGTATCTGCAAATGAAAGTGCTTGAGGAGCCTACAGATGTGATGGGGAGTACTTTAAGCCACAATGAGTTCCAGAAAATAGGCATAAGAGGCTGTAAATCTATTGAAAAGCCTGGTGTATTAGGTGGGCTCTTTAGCTCATATAATGTGTATTTGGTGGCGTGGAGTTCAGCCTTTTATTCACTTAGCGGAGATGGGGAAGTTTTCCATTGGTCTCTATTCTCAGGACTATTTTACAGTGAGTAGTCAAAAGTAAGAAATAATTATGAATAGAGGAAGCAGAACCTCATACTCAGCTGTCATTTCCCCTCAGTAGTCATCACAGTGTAGAACTGGATTTATTCCCCGCCTCTGTCTGCTCCTCTGCTTCCGTGATTCGGGGTTTTTTTTTTCTGTCTGCCTGATATTCTGGCTTTTCAGGAGGAGGCAAAAATGCCCCATCCAGGTGTGCTTTAGTGAATAGTCTTACTAGTCTACCCCTGTACAGAAGGCCATCATGACTTAGTCAAATATTTGTTTTCTGTATTTAGCTAGGGTGGGATGCCCTTGTCCCCAGTGTTTGTCATTGGCCTCCCTGAAATCTCAGCTTACTGATTGTTTTGGATAACCTAACAGAGGCATTTAACTCTGCCTCTTCAGGTTTGTATTCAACCTTAGGACAGAACACTGAAGGCTAGGTGCTTGTGTTCTTTCTTGTTCTGTTCTTTGTAGTATACGCACAAAGGATTTGAAGACCCAGAAGGAACTTGAAACTGTTGGATAGCATTGAGACTAATGTTAGAGTTAGTTCAAGAAAACTGACATCTGAGTCAGTTTGAATAAAAAGGTTCCATTTTTACTTACCTTTCTTCTGAATGTGACTAGAAACAGACTGAAATAACTTAATCATAAATTGATTCCTAATGGTTCAATGTTGCTATGCCTGTTCTTAGAAGAAACAAAATGAGCCCAGGACTTGCCTTTGCATTCCTCATTTCAAGGAAGTGACTCTTAGCAGTACTGCAGTGTGGTTTGGTGTCAGCAGCCAGCTGGTTAATGTTCACCATTTCCCTCACTTGGACTATTCTGCAAGGTGGGGGGAAATAATGTGAAAGAATTAGGGGGAATTAACTTTTGTTACTTTATTTTCATTCTTAAGAGCTTTAAATATCTGTGTGTAGCCCTTTATTGGACCTGTTAACACAAAGCTGTTGCTAGAAATTTCATTGTGGAGGAGAAGGAGGAAGGAACAGCTCAGCTTGGAAAGATCTCAATCATATAATAAGAACAGGGAGGAAGTAGCAGAAGGAAGGATGTAGCTGATACAACAATAGTAATTTAGCTTTTGGTGAGCAAGAGAGTCCTGGAGGAAAATTGGGAAACCATGGTGCCTTGCAGTGTCTGCTGTGAGAATGTTTCTAGGGCCTTGGATCTGATCTTCTCTCCTTGTGCCTGTTTTGTAACACTGGGGACTAAAGCCTAATTTTTGTGAATTAGGTTTTCTAGGCTGCCCAGAGAATTTAACTGAGCTTAATTTAATTGTAAGTAACTTCCACCCCTCCCCACTTGTGCATCATGAGCAAAGGGCAAACAGATCTACATCCTAAGCTGATCCACTGAAAGACCAATTGAATTGCATTTCTGTTTTTCCTAACATATATACGATGGATACATACTCTGCTATTGCAATTAATCCCTCAACAAAACCGCATCCCTTACTTATTCTTTTCCATATGGGTACTTCAAGTTGCCATCTTAGGCTGGAGAGATGAGTGCTCAGGTAGGTGTGTTGTGCTATGGGCTCTTGCATTCCTGTACTGAGCTACACTATTAACTTCCAGTACTGTCCCTCTGGGGGAAAGGAGAAGCAAACAAGATCCATTAGACTTCAGTCCACCACTAAAAGCTTTTCAGTTCTAAGCCATCGTTCCTTTATCAGAAACTAATTAACTGGAACTTCATTAATTTGCCTCTTACCAGCAAAAGTCTCTAGCGCTACACCTGAGGATAACAGACCCTTTTATGTCTAGGGCAAACTTCCCCTTCAGTTCACGCATTATTTCTTTTCTGTATTACACAGTAGGATTTTTAGCCTAGTTTTGTTACTGGTTGAAAAGAGAAAGTGCTCATAGTGATGTATCAGCCAGGAAAAACTACTACTTAAGCAACTAATTTTTTGTCATGAATACTTAATGTATAAATTAAATGGAAGCCTGCAGCAATGTGAGATGAACTTGATTTGCACAGGATGCTCACATATGACATCCAGTATGAGATTATATGCTAATGCTTTCATTCAGAATAAAATGTGACTATAAGGAGTAAGTACTATTGGATACTGCAATTACTAAAATATGACTGCAGATTCCCTCAAAATTACATTTTATATACATGTGGCATAGAACTTTGGAGAAGAAACTGATTTTCTTGCCAGTCACCTGCCTGAATAAACCTCACAGTGTTATCTGGATATTTTAAAACATAAATACTTATATAACATTTAAGCACTCCCGCATTGTTTCAACAACTGCCAATCACTTTTGAGAGCTGTATAAAAATAAATTGGGACTTTCTGCACCATGGTTTTTTATATATTGCAAACTTCCTGGAATCTCTGAGCACC